GGAGGGATTATATCTCTTCGCTGGCCTGGGAGCGCCTTGGGATCCCCCAGTCAGAGCTGGTTGATGTGGCCAGGGAAAAGAAAGTTTGGGGCTCTCTGCTGGAACTGCTACCTCCGCGACCCGACCACGGATAAGCGGGAGAAGATGGATGGATAAAAAAAGAAATCATGCTTCAAATAAGTGGGGGTACGGCGTACCCCCGCGTCCAACGCCCACTACACCACTGACTGCAACTACAAAAAGCTAAGGTTTGTTTTCTCATCAGGAAATGCAGACCGGCTCAAACAAAAGATTTTTAAATCATCATCCTCACGATCATTTAATGTATCATATGTTCGCCGAATTGACATGAAAGCACTAATAAATGTAGTTTCATCCACTTGAGTTTACAAAAATAATCGATTTTTTTTTATATCACATCCGACGGGAGGAAATTCAGCAGCTCTCACTACCGATTTTTAATCCTAATTTAATCATCATCTTCACCACGATCATTTATGTTTATGTTCGCCGAATTGACATGAAAGCACTGACAAATATGAATATACTGTAGTCAACTTCATTAAAACGTTATTAACGTGCCTAAACTCAGTAATTCACCATTTCTACGCATGACAACACACTTTGTCCGTGTTTGGCTCTCTCGCCGCACAGTGAAGCGTTCCCGCATTGACGTCACTTCTGGCTTACCCGAAAACCTCAAAATGAGTCGAAGGAATTTTCCCGCGATGTTCGAAATTATTGATATTTATCGGAACGGTATCGCTTTTTCTTTTTTAAACTGACGGTTCGAGATTACTAGTAGCCCACTATTTCATTGCACAACAGTTGTTGGGTTCGTGTCACAGGCTCTTTAAGACTCGACTAGGCCTGCAACTTCGACTTGTTGTGCATTTGGATTTAAGTTTTTATAACGTGTAATGACTATATTTCTCCTTAATCCCAAATTCAAGAAAGTAGGTCATAAAAAAATTGCAGAATAATAACTATTATATTCCTGAAAATAGATATATTCTGAATCAGCTCAGTATCACATTCAAATATTGAAACATTTCAGTGTGCAGACTCCTAATAATTTTTTTTGCTGGTTTAAATGACTAACTTATTGGACAGCACATTATATCAGCTGGAGCTGTGGATGTTAATGACATACTTAGTTGTCAAAAGGCCTGCATTTTTTTTTCTTTGCTGTCTGGTCCATGTTGTCTCTGTAAACCATTGTCCATACTCGGCCAAAGACCATTCCTAAGCCTCTCGTTGTAACATCACTCTAGATGCAATGTTTTTATTTTAACTGTTTAAACAAAACAAAAAAAGTAGAAAGTTAAAATTGAAAATGTCATTTTGCTGGAAATGTATCAATTGTGTTTACATTTTATTTATTGACATCATATTTGGTGAAAGGCACATATTGTGACAAAGTCTAGGACTTGGCTTGAGATTTGTTGGTCTTTAATTGACCTATGACTTTCTAAGCAAGACTTGAGTTGAGGCTCGTGCCCTGAAAAACAGTGACTTTGTCCCTCCCCTGCTGTTTGTATTCACTGTTTCACAGCACAAAGATGGATATAAATACAATCAACTTTCTTGCAGTCGCTGTGAGGACTGGAGCACCCCAGTCCATGCAGGCGTTGTTTCCGGTAACTCTTTAGTGGTGAGTGGCCTGCTGGATGCAGGAGGAGATACCAGACTCCATGATAGAGAAGGCAGGACACCCTTTGACTGGCTGAGGTCTGTGAAGTCGGAAGTCAGAGCTAATGTAAGCTGCTGAGTGGAAACAGTATCATTTTTCTTGATGTGTTTTTGCAGTAATTTAGCATTGCAGTTCTGTTAGGGAAAGAGAGAGATATAGAGAGTAGCCGTGGGTCAATGTGTAACGACGTCTATTGCGGCAGTAATCTTAAACAAAGTGCCGCGAGGGACTAAACAAGAGAAAAAACACTGTGGACGAGCAAAAACTCAGTCTTTCCAAAAGTATGCGTTTGACCTTTTATTTCCAAAGCAAAAATGCAATATTCCATATCCATATGCGTATATTCTTGTATGCGTGCGTGCGGTCAACAAAAATTGTCCTTCTCTAGCTCACTCCCCCATCTATTACCAAGTGCGCAGGTAAAAGCAACCGGTAATTAAAGTTTAAAAGTCTCAAAAATGCTACAACTACTGTCACAAACAGGAAATGTTGTTAAAGGAGGATGAAAGCGTAATTAAGGAGCACTATTGGAGTGACTTTGA